GGACTTAGAATTCCTCATAGTGCCCGGTTTACAACAACAAGTATATTTGGGGATAGACTTCTGGAAGGCCTTCGACATGGCTGTCGTTAGTAGGGGAGCACGTATATGTCCAGATCAGGCTGCTGTCGCCGAGCTCGCACCCGCCGAAAGAGACCTGTCCCTTGTGGCCGTCTAACAGACGTTGACAACCGAAGAAAGTGCCGCTCTAGAAAAATTCAAAACACAGTTTCCGTCATTTGCCGTTTTAGGATTAGGGAAGACAGATATGGAGGAGCATATAATTGAGGTAGAAAACGAAAATCTTCCAATAAAGCAGCGCCACTATCCGATTTCGCCTGCAATACAGAAATTGATATATCAAGAGCTTGATAGGATGCTCAGTATGGGGGTAATAGAGGAAAGCAATAGTAGCTGGAACTCACCCGTCTCTCTTGTCATAAAAGGCACAAAGAACCGTCTCTGCCTTGACGCCAGGAAAGTAAATGAAAGAACTATAAAAGATGCATACCCGCTGCCACACGTAGATGGAATCCTTAGCCGCCTTCAGAACACTCGCTACATATCGGCTATAGATTTGAAGGATGCCTTCTGGCAGATTCCTCTTGAAAAAAATTTAGAGAGTAATGCCATTCGGACTGTGCAACGCGGCACAAAGAATGTGCAGACTTATGGACAAAGTGATACCGGCTTCGTTGCGTGAAAGTGTTTTTGTGTATTTAGATGACTTGTTGGTGTGTTCTGTAGATTTTTCGTCCCATTTGTGTTTGTTGGGAAAGGTCGCTCGATGCTTACGTGAAGCTAAATTAACAATTAATGTCGAGAAAAGCAAATTTTGTTATAAAGAGGTTCGTTACCTTGGTTATGTTGTGGGGGATGGTTGTATACGTACGGATGCAAACAAGGTTGCAGCTGTGAGGGATTTCCCGGAGCCCAAAACTCCAAAGCAGCTCCGACGGTTCCTAGGTATGTCAGGCTGGTACCGTCGATTTATCAAAGACTACGCGACCATTGCAGCTCCACTGCACGACTGTNATCCGACGGTTCCTAAGTATGTCAGGCTGGTACCGTCGATTTATCAAAGACTACGCGACCATTGCAGCTCCACTGCACGCCTGTCTCACTAAAGAAAAGATAAAGAAATTCACCATGACGGACAAAGCCAAGAGGTCGTTTGACCGATTGAAGCAAAGCCTCATATCGGCACCCGTACTGACGCACCCTGACTTTAATAGACGGTTTTATATACAGTGCGATGCATCGACAGACGGAGTGGGTGGGGTTCAATTTCAACTTGACGATGACAACAATGAACGACGTATAGCATATATTTCAGCGAAACTCAATAACGCACAGCGAAACTATAGCATAACGGAGCTGGAGTGCTATGCAGCCGTGGTTAGTGTGAAAAGGTTCTGGCCCTACATAGAAGGTATGCCGTTTACCATCATAACCGATCATGCCAGCCTAAAATGGCTGATGAATCAGAAGGACCTTTCGGGTAGACTGGCAAGGGGGAGTTTGAAGCTCCAAGTGTATGATTATGATATACAACACAGGAAGGGGGCGCAAAATGTGGTGCCTGACACGCTATCACGGATGCACATGGAAGAAATGACAACAAACGAAAGATGTATGGACGTTTCCTTAGACTCGCCTTGCTTTGACTCGGACGAATCCAAGGAACTGAAAAGGACTGTGACCGAGAACAAAGATCAACTACCAGACTTGTGCATATCGGACGGGTATGTTTATAGACGGACTCAATTTAACCGGGGGGACCAGCTTAAAGAGGATCAGACCTGGAAACTTTGGATACCGTCGGAATTGCTACCAGGGTTAGTGGAGGCCTCCCACAGTTCACCTTCTGCAGGTCACGGGGTCATCCACAAGACACTCACACGAATCCGTGAAAAATATTATTGGCCGGGCATGGTTACTGATGTCCAAGCTTTTATTACAGGCTGTGAAATATGTAAAGGTAAAGGATGGGAAACCAACACTTAACCGAACGACCTTTCCAACGCTTGTATGTTAACTTTATGGGTCCTTACCCATGTACTTGTGATGGTAATGTTTATGTTTTTGTTTGTCTGGACCATTTTTCTAAGTTTGTGTTTTTGAAGCCAATGAAGAGAGCCACTTCAGCCGAGGTTGTAAAGTTTTTAGAGAAGGAGGTTTTTCATATTTTTGGCGTCCCTGAGTACATACATTCAGACAACGACAAGCAGTTTGTCTCTGAGATATTTTCTAGTCTTCTAGAAAAATACGGCACGAGGCATATCAAAACTGCATTTTATTCGCCACAGGGCAACGCCGCAGAGCGAGTCAATAGGTCTGTGCTACAAATACTCCGCTCGTACATAAAAGAGAATCATAAAAATTGGGATAGGCATATTAGTGACGCGGCTTTTGCACTCCGGAGCGTAGTCCACTCAGCAATCAACTGCTCCCCATACTTTGCTACTTTCGGTATGCCTATGGTGCAACATGGTGCATCGTACGAGATATATCGAAAGCTCGGCTCCATAGGGGATGCGGATTGGCAAATAGACGCGAAGACAGACCTATTACAGCTTATACGCGAAAATATAATGAAATAACTGAAGTTGGCTCACGAAAAAAGTATGAAAGCTTATAACACTAGAAGTAGAGATATCAGATTCCAAATCGGACAGGTGGTATACCGCCGAAACTTCCGGCAGAGTTCCCAAGTAGACAATTATAATGCTAAACTTGCACCTAAACAAATAAAATGCATCGTTTTGAAGTCTATCGGAAACTCTATGTATGGGCTGGGCGATATCAGCGGGAACAAAGTAGGCGTATACCATGCCAAGGACATATTTGTGGCTTAGTGTTTGTATGATCCTGATTTAGAATTTGTTATTAGTTCGTTGTTTTTGTTTAAGTGTTAGTTGTCGTGATTTTGTTCGTCTAGCTTGCTTACGCAAAAGTGGGTAAGCGAGATTGTGATTCGTATCCATTGTATCTATATATTTTAATTGTTGACGTATCGTAATTATTTTCTATTTATGTATGCATCTATTTACTTGACTATTTCATTAACTATCTGTTTATTTATTTACTTTTTTTATTTTATTTTTATCTTCTTATTTTGTTATTTTATTTTTTTTATTATTTATTTATTTTTTTTATTTTTATTTAACCAACAGGACTATTGGTACCTTTACCAAAATCTACTGCGATATAGTATACGGAAAACTAACTGTGATATAGACATAGGATTTTATTGTGATATAAGTATAGGTTATCTCCCAGTGATATGTATATATGTTGTTAGCTGTGATATAATATGTAAAAGTAGTACGTAGGAGCATATACGTGTTAATAATCGTAGACATAGGTGAATGTTCGACTGACTACACAAAAGATACGCATACAGAAACAAAGAGACTTTCATAGGAAGCCCGGCGTTAGGTCGTGGGTCGAGGCCACACTAGGCAAAACGCACAAACAATGCAGGTAGGCTGCGTTTGAATTCTTTTACGCACACGCTGCATATTGCAGGCAACATCGGCGGATGCGAGCCTGTAACGACAGCCTATGTAGTAGGTGGCCAGTAACTGCTGCAACAAATATCCCCACTCAAATATCCTCCACACAAATGGACTTTGTACCCAACGATGTACCAAAACATGTTGCGCAACATGTGTGAGAAGGCGCACTGCCAGGAATGACTCTGTGCGTACGTGTGCGTGTGTGTAGGTGCATATGCTAAGGTATAGATTTGAATTATGTGTTTGTATGCGTGGATCTGAGTGAAAGTTTGAGAAATGTTCCACACGCAAATGCACCGGGGCACGATCGCTTGGTCGGCTAACAGGAAGATTCAAATGGGAAAGTGTCTTTTAAGTGAAAAGAAGTGCAAGGGAAAGTTCCGCAAAAAGGAATAAAGCAAGTTGTGCCCCGTTTAACCGGGACCATTAATTCCCGCTGCAGATCCCGCTACCAGAAGGCTATCAAGCGGCAGGAGTACCAAGAGGACTCAAAAGCCTGAATTCTGGAGTTGAGCCTTTTTAACACCAAAGCGTCTAGTATATAGCCACGTATACAAGTTATATACAACCACTTATATATGTACATGTAAGACAAAAATCGCGGAACGACGAGAAATACATAGTTGAGGTCAACGACCGGGAATATGCAAAGTAAGAAACATCGAGATCAACACCAAGAGCCTAGAGAAACTTGAAACACTTCAAGAAAACATACATACATACATTCCAGAGCGCCGGACTCCGCGCGAGGAGCATCAGAAGGAGAGCTTCCAGGCGCTCATGTCACAGCACTCCGTCAATCGCTGTTGGCGGCCACTCTTATCACAATACACCACATTCAGTTTTCGTTTTATTGATTTTTCTTTCACCACACTTGCGTATTCCTTTCTTAAGTCCCATATGGTTCCACCTAATTTGCCATTATACTGACATAACCTCAAACCAAATTTCGCGCATGTTTGTAGCTAGCTGTTTTTATTTTTTTTATTTATTCTTTTGGTTTTAAGTAATTATGCATGTTTTCATGCCGCGTAAATAATCGAATTACTTTTAGTCCTTGATCGGAACCATCACCCCTAATACGTACACATATATATTTATATATATTTCGTACTTGCCACAATCCATAAATAATAATTTGATTTTTAGGTGTATACCTTGTTTTTGTTTTAAATCCCATTTGCCTTTATATTATAGATCCGTTTTTGGCGAATTCGTGAAAGAAAAAATGAAATGCAGTAGTCCGCTATTTTAATTTAACTAATTTTTTTACGTTTGATTTTATTTTTTTTATTAAAAGAGGTTCGGAGGTGGTTAAATGGCGTAGTCAAGAGTGCTGGCGACCGTCCCGGAGTGAATGAATGTCACAGCGCAATCACGACATTTACCCACCTATGAATGCTCCCACTCTAGTGTACCGCCTATACTCTTGCTAGGTATTGGAAGTTTTTTTTGTTAATTCCATAATATTTCTTATTCCAGCCTCTCCCATCTCCTGTATGCAGGCGCCTACATCACATGCGAGATCGGTAAGTGCTAATACATAAGGTATGCTTACAAATGTACACTCATTCATACATACATACATACATATGCCTATATGCACATGTATGTACGAATAGATAGAGAACAAGAGGTATTTTGAAACATTACTTACAAGCTGGGCGTAGTAAATATAGTGTGTAAAGTAATAGTATACATATACTTAGGTGTATATTTACATACTTATGTATCTTTCTTTTAAATTTTCGGTTCGTTTTGGATCTTTGAAATTTTTTTTTACCTGGACCTCATTTGACATTGCAAACGCGCCAAGCGTCCTATATGTTAGATAAATAGATATATACATAGCCATAGATAGGTAGGAGTGAATACTTGGATTTTGTAAGTTAAGGAAACCCTAGTTCTTAGTAATTAAAGTTGTGAATAAAGTTTAGCTTAGTTATAAACATTGATAGGCAGAAGTGAATACTTGGATTTTGTAAGTTAAGAAAAGAAAAAAGAAGAATGGAATTTGTGAATAACGTTTAGTTGTAGCTGCATTTATATATATATAAATAATAGACTATGTATAGTATATGCTTAGGAGGAAATATATGGATGATGTGATCAGGATTGAACGAGAAGTTATGGCTTGCTGATTCTTTATATTGGTGTGGGTGTTGCACTGGTGCAACAGGGGGGAAATGTGTGTCGACACTGATTGACGTTACTGACTTGGACATGACTTGTCAATAGACGTACGAACTAAGGTCAGGTTTAGGGGACTTTGCCAATTGTAGGAGTCACGGCAAAGTCCAAGGCTACAAGATCGTAGATGGGGTGGGCTGACTCCACGTGACTCGGACGGGCCTCTTCTGTCTCCTTTATATTTCTATTCTCCCGGTTTTTCAGTGTCTTTTCTCTAACAGGCATGATGACAAATTTTGTTTAGGTCAGCTGCAAGTAAGGTGGTTGGAGGTGACCCCCCCCAACCGACGAGCTAGCTCGGTATGCCATCATGCCTGAATGCCAACCAACCTTAACCCAATAGCCAGCGACATAACAAACCATAGAGCAGTATACATAAAACACGTACATTTACATAATTTAGCTGAATGGAGAATACACGAAAGAGTACATTGTGGGGGAGTAAAATGCTAAATATAATATTGATTTCTACATTAAGTCTAACAAGAGTTTTTAACGTAATAATTTCAAGAAATGAGAACAGCAAGCAGCTTCCGTTAAAATGATCGAAGGGAAAATATTCATTGTTTGGCACTCCCGCGAAATAAACAGTCGCGTTCTTCAGGTGTTGAGTTGAGCTGTAGGTAAGCATTTAGTTTTTCGAGTGATTCAATGAGTACGGGTTTAGTAGTTTCATCTCTTTTAACATATACGGATCCGCGTGCAGAAAAAACTGCAAATAGTTGACCTTGTTTCTTGTGACGAGTGGCTACGCGAAAAATACTAAAGTTATTTTTAGTCAAGCACTCATTAATATAAATTAGCGTATGTGAATCAAAACCAACATAGTGGTCCATTGTTCGCCTTTCGAAAAAGTGCAACATGTTTCAAAATGAAACTCTTGTCTTACGTCGATAAACATTTGACAATAATAGCGGTATCAGGGTTCTCGAGGCGCTGTCGTGGACGAGTTCGAAAAATGCATTGTACTCGTGGTACCTTTACTTTAAGTCTAGTACATATGTTGGACAAAACTGCCATCAAATCTTCGTTGTCCAAAAAAGGAAAACCAGTAATACGAAGGTCTTGAGCAACTGAAGCACTTTCGTATGCTGCTACTTTTCTTCTTACTACGGTGAGTTCATCTTCTAGTGTTGTGCAAATATTTTGAGCTCTACTGTAGTTGGAGTCCAAAACGTCCACGCGTGTTGTTAGGACAGCTAATTGTTTTTCCATATCGGCGATTTTGCCTTCAAGCGCACTTAATATCTTCTTTTCAGAGGACTCGATGAACGACATTAGCATTTCAGTGTGTTTCTTTAGGCGTTCGTCCAAAAGTCGTAATAAATCTGACGAACATTCAGTTGTTTGCTTCAGTATTTTGGGGTCGGATTCTGAAGATAACGCATCGCGCAGATTTTTAGTTGCTCTAGTAGCCATATTNCTGAAACGACAGATGGCGCTAGGCTCGCTTTATCGGAGTCACAAACCCTCTAGTAATGCTCAAGAAAATCTTATATAGCGGTATGCTTAAAAATTGTTGGTACACAGCTTTGTGGACTGTTTTGTTTTGCTATGCTTAACCCTAGAACACACACCCAGAAAATACCACGTAAACACACACCCGGGATACGTTTGTACCCGGGACCTTATTTTGCGGTNTAGTTTTTTAGTTGCTCTAGTAGCCATATTCGGCATTTTTCGCAATTAATGCTTTTACGTTTCTGAAACGACAGATGGCGCTAGGCTCGCTTTATCGGAGTCACAAACCCTCTAGTAATGCTCAAGAAAATCTTATATAGCGGTATGCTTAAAAATTGTTGGTACACAGCTTTGTGGACTGTTTTGTTTTGCTATGCTTAACCCTAGAACACACACCCAGAAAATACCACGTAAACACACACCCGGGATACGTTTGTACCCGGGACCTTATTTTGCGGTTTTTTTAATGCTTGTTCAACCGATTTCTATGATTTTTTTTTTTAAATGTATATTTTAATATATAACAAGTATTTTGTCTTTTGTTTCATTCGAATATTCCTACTGGTTCCAGCGATATGGGCAAATAAAGTCAGGACATGCAACAGTGGATTTTTGTTTTTGTTGTTGTCCTGATAAATGCAAAACAAAATAATATAATTTATAATAATATACTTGTAGAGTAACAACGAATACACATTTTGGTTTTTATTT